TAGCAGGAATGGAAACCTGACTAACATACATCATTGGAAATACAATTTATGGTCAGGTGCAGTGGCACATGCCTGTAATTCCTGCAACTCAGGAGGCTGAGGCAGGAGTATCTCAAGTTCAAGGTCAGCCTCAACAACTTAGTAAGACCCTGTCTCAAAATAAAAAAAAATTAAAGGGGCTGGCAGTGTATCTCAGTTGTAGAGCACCTCTGGGTTCATCTCTAGTATTGAAAAAAAAGGAGGGGGGTATAATCTATGCAAAATTTTTAAATTAATTTTTAAATCTCTTGAAATATGTTTGTCTAAGTTTGTCCATGTGCACAGTTGAAATCAATTACAAGGTATGGCCTAACAGATGCTAGGGTAACTTTAAAAAATAGTTTTTTATAAATATTAAACAACTTCTTGCACAACAAAGTCATTATACATATAAGGCAAACTCAGAGCTTTTATACTTGCGTTTATTTTTCCTTTAATTTTTAAAACACTACTATAATTGAATATTAAAACAAAACAATAAGAAGTGTAAGAATATTTTGTAGTCCTTCACTCATTCACTACTGCATATAAAATGCCTGCAGTAGGTGTTATTTACTGGCCCTTTTAAGAGGTCTTACACTGAACACCACCTCTGCCATGTTGTTCATCATAGTCATATGCTTCTCCATTATAATGGCACCATCTTTCCTGATTGGGATCAAAGTCTACCAGTTTTATAGGATCCATTTCATCAGTCTCTTCTACTTCCTTCCTCTCAAGTAGGAGTTTTTCTAGCAGAGTTTGTCAGGAAAGAGAAAGCCATTTTCAGAAAAGTTTACCTTAAACTTGATGACTAAGCAACCTTTTTCATATGGTCCATGATAAATTGACATACCTTTATTTAGCACACACTTTATATCTCCATACTTAACAATCTGATCTGGATGAGAGGTGAAGACTATGGTTTGATTATGAAGAGTGGATATTGGCTTCTGGAAGCCACCTGGTGCTTCAACCAGCTGTAGTCCATACACATGAAAAGGTCTTCTCCTTGTCCAGTAAAAATAGCAGGATCGGGGCTGGGATTGTAGCTCATTGGTAAAGTGTTTGCTTACCATGTGTGAGGCACTGGGTTCAATCCTCAGTGCCATATAAATTAAATAAATAAAATAAAGGTATAGTGCCCAAGTACAACTAAAAATTAAAAAAAATCTATTACCCCCCCCCAAAAAAAACTAGAATGGTCCTTCAGATCTTACAAAATGATAATATCTCCTGTTTCCAGTCTTGGCTCTTGGTCTCCTTCACTATGGAATGTTATCTTCTATCCATCTTTCATACTTTTGTCAATATGAACCTTCTAGAATCTTCTCTCCAACTATCTTCTGTTGCGGCTTTGACCTCTATCTTTAGGACTGATCTGTTCCCCATGGCCCTGGGGCTCATGCACACAGAGTGGATTTGCTGAACCATTCCAGGTCCTAAGTGATGAATTCTTATTTGCATTCCAGTACCTTGGTAGTTGGGACAGCACTCTATTGCTCCTTTCTTGTCACCTTGGCCTTCACACTTGTCACAAATCACATTCTTTTGCAGAGCCAGTTCTTTTGTTGCACCATTATTAAATCTTCTAATGTTACTGAGAGCTGATACACAACAAAATTACCTCTCCTTTCTCTCTGCATCCTTCCTCCTCCTCCTCCAAAAGCCATATCAAAGATGTCCATGGGGAAGCCAAAAACCACCATCTGCTCCACCCTCCTTAATTGCCTGTTCTCCTCCTTTGTCATATAATTCCCTTTTCTTGGCATCAGAGAGAACTTCATAAGCTTGAAAAATCCTTCAAAATTTTTCTCCTTCATTTGGATTCTTATCAGGATGTTATTTCAAGGCCAGTTTCCTATAAGCCTTTTTCAATTCTTCCTAGGTGCCATTGGGTTTGACCCCCCAAAACATCATAGTATGTGGTTTCATTCACCATTTTCTACAGCTGGGGAGTGGGCTGGGACTGGTGAGGGGGAGTGGGATTTTGTGCAGCTTCGGCAGCTGCCCCTTCTCTGCTCTCATCAAATGTTTTGAAAATTTCCAGAAATGTTTTCTCTGGCTCATAATTTTGGAAGTTTTAGTTCACGGTTGGTTATGTTATTGATTTTGGTTTGTGGCAAGGCAGTATAACATGGTGGGAATACGTGTCAGAGGAAGCTGCTTACATTGTGGTAGACAGGAAGTGCAGGGGCCAGGGGGCCAGTATCCCTTCTAGGGCATGCCCTGGACAACCTAACTTCCTTCCATTAAGCCCTGTCTCTTAAAGGTTCCACTACTGCCCAATAGTATCACTAGCTGGGCCATTGGGGACACTTATCCAAAACAAAGCATGGTGAATTCATACTTAAGATTGTCAGTTCTGGGCTGGGGTTGTGGCTCAGTGGTAGAGCACTTGCCTCTCATATATGGGGCACTGGGTTGATCCTCAGCACCACATAAAGAAATAAAATAAAGGTATTGTGTCTACCTACAACTAAAAATTTTAAAAAAATATTGTCAGTTCTCATAATAATCAAATATGTTTATCCTTTTACAGTTATATATTTCAGTTATCAGCTGGTAATTTTCCAGTAATTTTATTTCTTTTCTTATTTAGATATGTCTAATTTTAATATAATCAAATATATCCATCTATTACTTTGTGATTTCAATTTTGTCAGAACATTTGGAAACCCATACCCTGCTTTAATAGTTGTAAAATATTCATCCATATTTTCTTTAAAAACTGATGACTAATTTTCACTTTTAAACTTTGATTCATTTAGAATTAATTTTGGTTTGGTCAGCTTTGGTGAGGGTGGGATCTAACTTCAATTTTTCTAAATGGACTCTTAGTTGTTAATAGTCATTTCTTTTAGAAACTTTGCTGTCATACTTGCCTCAAAGTTTTCATACCTATACAGTCACAGTCCTTTACCAGAAAGCACTCTAGCATATGCACAGATAATCATGAGTTTGCTCAGAAACCAGGAGATTGTGCTGTGTGAAAAATTTTACTCTTTTTATTGTTACTGTTACCTTTCATTCTTTTCAAAATATGTTTCTTGGGTCTCTCTCTCTCTCTCTCTCTCTCTCTCT